TTACAAAGAGCAACAAGTAATACCAGGTTTTGAAACAGATATATTTGTATTTCTTTCATTGGACTTAAATCCAATTAATATGCATAGGGTTACAGCCTATCATAGAGACCAGCTAAGTTTAAAATAAAGGTATCTGATCCCTCTACTTCAAATTGCAGTTATATATTTCAACGTTAATGGTTCAACAAGAAATATATTCCATTAACTTTTAGAAACTAAGGATCTTGATACCAGCTATTTTAATATTGTCAAAAATATTGCATAAAGACTTTAAAATAGAGGATTGTATCCTATCCTGACTGTGTCCTAGGGAAATGGAAGCTGCTTGAAAAATAACTTTCCCCTCTACCCTGCAGCCTCTACAAGCTCAAACATCCCCAAATCTGTTCCAGAGGGTTGGGAGACCCTCCAAAGCAGATATGGAAGGCATGCCAGGGCTGCAGGAGGCACATGGGAGGAAAGCAAGGGAAAGTCTGCCCACACAACACTGAATTTAAACTAGATAAATGTAAGAGACAAACAAGCAAAAATTTCTGGTAAATAACTTAGTATTTTGAGACTATTCAACAGAAATCAATAAGATGATTATTCCCCCACCTCACCATCAAAGAAAACCTTTTGAAAATTAAAAATAAAATTAATAAAGCAGTATACCAGCAAAAATGGGAGTTTATGTTAAAGTACTTAGCACGAATCTATCCCGTGCTGAAAACAGTATGTATGTGAGCTGCCATGGATGCTTTGTATCAGGGCGGTCCAACGTTTTCATCACAAGGGCTACAGGAGGACTTTGACGCAGATCCCGGGGGTGGCACAATGAATTTCTGCAGAGCTCCTGAAGCCATGTGGGACTTGCTGGGGCAAACTCTTGTGAGGCCCCAGGAAGGCCGAGCCTCCGGAAAAGAGTGGCATGGGCTGGCACATTGGGAGAGATTGCTGCAATCATGCCTGTGCCATTGCTGGGATCCGGACTGGGGCCCTCTTGCTCCGAGCAGCAAGAGTGCCACAAGTTGGACCACCCTAGTTTATATTAGTGTATACATTTGAAATAGAAGTCTTGCTTTTTTTTTCTAAACTGTGTTGTGAATAGTCTGTGCTAATGGATTTTTTCTTTCTTTTAGGTTTGTCACCCTTTCTGTACTATTTGCTGATAAGAATGTGTTAAAAATAGTTCTGAGTCACCAGTTTGACCAAGAAATGAATGCCTCACCAAAGGATTGCACTGGAAACCTATAATTCTATACAGAATTACCTGTCAGTTAGTTGCAGTGGAAATGATGGGATTTCTGCAGTAGACTTGAGCAAACATATTTCTGGCTCAGATTAAGCCTACAAAAACTTATGCACATTTATTTCAGAGTGGACCTTGTTGCAGTTAGTAAACATACTTACTTAGGAGTAAGCATTTATTTTGAGATGAAATGCCTTGATTTTATCCCAACTTTCCTCCAAGTAGTCCCTGAAAGATCCCATGTTATCCTCTCAGAAAACCTACAACACTCCTCACTGGGGCACAACCCCTACCCCAGAGGATCACTTGCTCCTCACACACAAAACACACTCCTTGAGGGTAGACCAGACGTTGGAGTATTTAAATTAATCTATAAATAGGTAAGCAGGCACTCAAACCTTCTTCTGCTGCATAGACGCTTACTCCTATCTGTGTGCAATGAAAGCAGCTACACTGTGTACCCTCATCCAGAGTTTTCCCATCTCAGCCACAAACACCCTGCCTGTCCATCCACCCTCTTTTCAACCAAATCAGGCTGGGCATCCCATCCCTTCAGACAGCCATGCCAGCAGAAGGGAGGGGAAAGCCACTTATTTAGGCTGGAGTACACTGGTTGCAAGTATATCAAATTTCTATTTTTTTTTTTTTTCATTTTTCAGCTAGCGGAGTAAAATTCACAGGGAATTCTTACCTTTTTTTCCCCTTTTATGTGATTCTAAACACCCAGTGGGGCACCAAATATTCAGGATTCAAGAAGCAAGTACTCACTCCTGCCACCTCTGCCCCCAACCTCCCGCTTTTTCCAGGGGGGGAAGGGATTTAGTACATACAACAGATCAGTGGTTGCACTAGAGGTTGCTTAAGGTAAAGCTACATTCATTGTAAAACAGCATTAGCTAGCAAAAAACTAGAAAGAGGCTGGGTTCAGGAGGGGCTTAGACAGCCCAAGCATTTTTCAAGAAACCAGGAAAGCAAGAATTCACATGAAAAGAACAAAAGTTTTCTTTCAGTTCCATTTCAAAAGCATTACATTTTTTTCTTGATGTTGCAGTACAAAATTAACTATTCAGGAGTATTCTACAAGAGGAGTTAGAATGTATTACTCAATAAGCATGAACAAGAACAGTAAGAGAAGGAAACATGCCTCCCCACTTTTCTGTGAGAATATGAGCATCCTGTAACTACTCTGCTGCTTAGGAGAAAGGTGAATACCCATCTATTTCAAGGAATGCAACATGATAGAGATAAGCCACAGACTTATTCCTGAGCTTTAAAATAGACAGGGGATTATTCCAGGTTTCTTCCTGCACATCTAATCAGAGGCAAGACCCCAACAGTGGGGAAGCAAGAAGCTTTTGGCTGACTACCACCCACTGTTTGTATACCCCTGTGCAAGAACCAGCATTTTAGGCACTGATTGTAAAAGTGAGTAGAGACTGCATCATGAACATCTTTTAGTATTTTATATCTTTACTTATGGAGAGGAGATGAATAAGGTTTACAGAATTGTTTTATAAAAGTAGGAAGTGCAAGCACAAAGCTAAACTAAGAACAATAGGAAGAGAGAAAATGAGGACAGAGAAAAAATTGGGGCCAGGAGAAACTGAGCAGGCTTAACCGGGAGAGGCACACAATATTATCCGAAGAAGAGCTAGTGAGATATAGTAGATATATGGATGCCAAAGAAAAAGGCAGAAAAAACTGATTATACTGGCAGGCTTGAAAAATTACACCTACTGATATTCTGAAATATAAACATGTCCACTTACCCAATTAATAGAAGAACTGTACAAACTAGAAGGAATCCTAGCGTATACTTGGATGCTGTTTTAACCTGCTACAAAATTAAAAGTAAAAAGTAAATAAAAAGGAAGACACAGTCTTTCTGCTAATTCAACATAATGAGCAAAATTGAACTTCCTCCAACATAAACATTTATTTGAAATATCTCAAGTTTTCTCCATAGACCAAGAAGTTAATTTTTAGTATTACTTCTATTTGAACTTTTCATAAGCTCTAACATTTAAATGCCCAATATACATAAGGAAATTGTTTCATGAAGCTAGGACATCAAAAGCCATCAATGTTCTTCATAATTTGTTGCCACCAATTCTGCACACTAAATTCAAGACCTCTTTTACAACTGGATCATATATTTGACCTGAAGATACCTACAAGTTAATGTTGAAGGGAGAGAGTTCATTACTGGAATTGCAGGATATTTTCATTTAAAATTACTATTCAAAGTTCCCACAATACAATGCCCCTGGCTACAAAAAGGATTCAGTTCTGCTTCTAGCTCTGTTAAGCCCTATATTCTTGCTTTAGCATCTATATACAGCTTTTTATTCAAAGAATACAGGTCTACCTTCACCATCTCAATGGGGAAAGTTCTGGTTCCCTTTTCTAGCCCCGCAGATAAGTAAAGGATATTATTTAATGCAGAAAGTTCTCTTGTTTTCTCACACTGAAAAAAATGCCAAACATAGACTATAGACAAAGACAGAAAACAAGCTACCATGCAGTATTCCAGAGCTTTTTCTTTAGAAGGCATTTTATTAATGGAACCATAGAGCAAATCTACTGCACTGTTTTTCCTCTCTGTGATTCTGCCTTAAAATGCTCACTTGCCAAAAAAACAAATAGTAAAAACAGAACATTTTAAAAAATGGCTACTTTAAATAAAGGACTACAAGTGTTCTATAGCTACAGAAGTTTTAAATTTAACATTCTAGCTGTATACAAATGGCCTTCTATGTATATTTATTAAGCTGAGTGTTCATTTCTGTTCTGAGTGAATGGCCTGGTTTCTATGTTACACTGAACAAGCGAGATGTCACAATGAGGGCCGCAAGATGGCTTCTAAGCCCAGTGCAGCTTCTCTGTCATAGTTTATTTGCAAACAAGCCATCTTGAGAACCCTTGGTTTTTAACAGTATTGTTTGGGCTGGCTTGTCATGCCATCCAAACTAGTAGAATTGCAGCAAATAGGGAAGTACTGCAAAAGTGGGTTTTTGAAATAACAAAAGAGCCACCTGGCAAGAGCAGCAAAATACTCACCTGGACAGTCCTTGTAATCTCACTGGCTATATCCCCTGCTTTATCACATGCTGTAATGATAATAGCCTTTTCTACTTCATTATCTCCTAGACACCCACACCTTTTTCACTTTCAAGAATATTTGCACAAATTTAGTCTTACTGTAATTTTTAACCTTCTGCGATTGTTATTGTGCTTTAGAGCAGTGATTTTCAACCCTTTTACAGTTGGGGACTGACAAAAATAGGAAAATTATTTTGGGGACTGCTGAGGCAGAAACAAAAAGGATTAGATATGTATAGTATTTTGTGTATTAGTTTTTTATAGTACCAAAATGAAAATTCTCTAAAATAACCATAAACTGAGCATTAAAAATACTAATAAAAGAATACAATGTTGAAATTAAATGTACTCAAATACAACTGAAATTTTTAGAGAGCATTATGTAATTCAAATAAGGCTGCTGGGAAATCTGCTGTTACTTCTTTTCAAAAATATTAAAATTTACAATAACAAAACACAAAATCAAAATAAATGCAATACTATGCTCATAGCAAATACAGATTCAAATAAAATATTAACAGCAGAGCAATACAAAATCAACCAAAGTTACTTAATACAAAAATATTCATAATGTTATATACTGAAATACAATGACCACCCCCCAGACCCTCATACTCACCCTCAATGACCAGCTGAGAAAACACACTCAGCACAACCCAGCCTCAGCATTTCCCTCCCCAGGAGAAAACACAGCAGGAAGAGGAAAAGGCTCTGTCTTCAAACTGGTGTGCCACGGCTCCCATTGAGCCGCCTCTTCCCTTCCTGGCCTCCTCGGAAGAGGCAGCATGTGCACAGCAAACCCTGTGCTGGTCCTGGCAAGTGAGACGCAGTCCACGGACTGGCAGCTGAAAACCACTGCTTTAGAGAATTTGTGCAGACCTCCCCGAAAGTTAAAAAGAAAATAAGTTTGCGCAGTTATACACAAAATTCTACAAAAAGCCTCTGCCAAATGCACCCAATAGCAGAGTATGCTGTTGAAGTTCTGCAAATGCCCATGAGATACATACCAAGAGTAGACTGGAGGATGAAGAGGGAAACTAGCTTTGGCAACTGCAGGATGCCTGATTGTCTATTTGGAGTAGCATGGGTCCACTCCCTGACATTTCAAGTTAAAATGATCAGATATCAAGGGATGGGAAAGACCCCCAGTCTGAGACTTTGAACAGTCATTACCTATCAGCGCAAACAATACTGAGCAAAGGTAGCTGTGTGTGTTCCTATGAAAAGATTCTGGGGCAGGTGGCAAGGTCCTGAAATTGCCAATAACAGTTTCAAGATATGCAAGGTTGGGTATTTTACTTCTGTCAGAAAGCATTTAATAATGTTATGTTTCAACAGAGAAGAACAACATCAGAACCATTTATTCTTTATATATCCAGTCAAGCAATCAAAAGTACTATATCAAGCATCTTACTGAGCATGTGTTGCCATCTTCTTCATCTTTTTCCTCATAGTAGAAGTAGACAAAGGGAATCCATAGGAACACACAGAATAATATGATGGAATACAGCGCTGAAGTGAAAAATGAATGATGTTTCAGAATGTACATTAAAAAACATGACATAAGCACTTCTAGTTTCCATTTACTACAATATCATTCTATTAATACAAGATTGAAGTGGCAACTCAAAACCCTAGAGATCTGTTAAAGTAGTTCTCTCTAGCTTCATTCAGCAAGGCACAAAACCATGTGATTTATTTCTATAGTAACAACAATATATGCTTTACAGATGAATATAAGCAAGGGACAAAATTCCTGTTCCGAACTGCTTACAGCCTGCATTTACAAGGAAAGGGGAGCAAATGGAAAAGAGGAAGAGAGATGCAATAAGAAATAAATATTAACATGCTGTTACACAGATGAGTTTCACTTCTGTTATCCTTTCAGAACCAAAAAAAAAAAAACTTGAGTAAAATCCATCTTTGCGTATTCTATGTGAAGACAACTTTAACAGTGCTCAAAAGGTATTATAAATAATGCTATTTTGTCTCTTCCTTTTTGTGTTATCATTTTGTACAGAAGTCATGGGAAATAAAAATTCAGTTAGGAATTCAGGTGTACTGCAGATTTGGAGCAAGATGAAGTTAAGGAATAGCAGAAAACAGTTTATTACAACTGTGAGTAATGCACAGCAGTGGTCCTATGCCCAGGGCAAACAGCCTTTTATGCTATCAGCAACCAACAAGACTGATGCATTTGTCCCCAGATAGTGGTCTGTTACTCATGTACATTCTGTTACAGAAAAATACAAGTTGCAAAAAATGGCTTCAGTCCCACCTTTGTCAAGTATGAATTATTGCACAGCAATATGTTTAATAATGAAACACTGGTAAGCAAACAAGAAATCCAGATATAATCACGTTGCTGTTCATGCATGGAACAAAGGATACCTTTTGTTCTGCAGTAATTTTTGCTTATCTCTGAGGAAGGTTTTTCAGAAGTGCTGTTTGCCTCATACGAAACATACTTTTGTTGAACATGAACATAAAAGCTATGAGGTTTACTAATAAGACTTAACCTTCTGTTAATCAAAAAAGGACACTATATATTCAGCTAAATAATATTTCTATAGATCCTTATTCTACTGCACTAACTGCTTACATTAAATGCACAGAGATGTTTATTTTATGGTTTTGAGTCTTGGTTTATGAACCATCCAGAGGACTCGGACTATGGGGTTCTATAGAAAGGTAATAAATGAATAACCATCAAGAATTCATCCATTCATTCCAATGGAAGAACCAGATCCACATATGGAATGCGCAGCTGAAGTGGGTCCCTCAAATGAAATGACCGAGAAAGACCCATATGTACATTGAGAAATAAGTAGGATTCTGGATTACAGTCCTTAAACGTTTTCCATTTCCAACCCCTTTATCAAATGTAAATGGGAAAAATGTACATGTTAGAAAATAATTACATTAATTTTTATGTTTTAAGTACAGAAATATAAGCAATTCAATCAGCCTAGTCCACTTCTAGGGTATGGCATATGTAAACTATCTAGTATCTTCAGTCAGAGCTTATCTAGATTCAGTAGAAATGCTTGAAAACTTGTGAAATACCAATAAATGTTAAAAAGTTGTAGACATAAGCTACTAGCATTACAGTGACATAATAAGCATTAAGAACCAAACTTAAAGTAAAGCTATATATTAGTGTAAGAAGCTATGTATTTCCATGAATTGGATACAGAAACATTAGCATGAAATTTAAAATGCCCAACTAATTTCTTTTAGTATCATTTGGTTCACTGAATTCTTAAGAATTTGATCCTGTGAGCTTGTCAACAAGACATATCTCATTAAGAAACTGAAATAGTCACATCAAAGAACTAGCAAATTCAGACTTAATAAGGATTATTCCTTGCAAATTTTGATTGTGAAGTTGAACTTTCCTGTAAATTTTACTTTCTGTCACATACAAGTCTGAACTAAAGAACCCAAATAAAAACAAGGAGAATAAATTTTCACAGCAGGTTAAAAAATTGAAATTGCCAATTGATTAGTCCCAGGTCTGATCAAGAAAGTAGAACACCACAAGCTATGCCAGTCTTTTAATGATATTCTTTCCACTTCTTGCAATTTGCCTAATTTCTTTCCTAATGCAGGATCCATATCCTCACAATGTGTAACAGAGGAGTTTTCAGCTATGGCAGGAATAGAAAACATGGTGCCATCTAGGTATAGTTGAACTACAGGTCCCATAATCCCTCACCATTAGCTAGACTGTCTAGAACTGCAGTCCAACAATGCCTGGATGGTTATGTATTCTCCACCAATGACTCACAGAAAATAGACTCTCCAATGCCAAGTTTGCCATCTTGAGAGGAAAGTGTAGAACATGTTTAGCAGGCTGCTCTCCCAATTTCAGAATTTTCAGTGGTTCAAATCAGTTTCTCTCAGCAACCACACCTAGATATTGCATATTCAAGTATGTGTCCATATTAGTTGACCAGCTACCAATGATTCCTGTTCTCCAATCTGCCCAAACATGAACTGTACCTCCAGTCAAACTGGAGGTCAAATTGCTTACAGGACATAAGCCTTTTTCTAACACTTTCTTGATCTATAAAATCAGCCACTGAAAATCCAAGATTAAAAATGAAATCAAAATACTAGGGAGGACTCAAGAACCACTAGTATGCAGCCTAGAATCCTTCAGATTAATCTAAAAATCTGCATTATTTCTTTGAAGATAAGTGTACGGAAAAGCGAAGAACTGATGCAAGCTCAAGCAGAAATAATTTTGTATTCTAGATTGTTGAAGTTTATAGAATTTACTATGCTTTTTGTTTATACTTAAATCATTACCACCATCTGGAGGCTGCCTTCTGCAACAGCAGCAGGCACATACACAACAAAATGTTTCTACTAAAATAGAGACAGTTAACTTTTTATCTCAGTAAAAGCATGTAAATTCTTCCAAAGTGAAAAAGTTGTTTATTGCTTTAATGAACAGTTTCATAAACCCACTAGAATCTTTAAAATTCCCATATTAGTGCATTCTTTCAGTAGTTAAAATGCCTACTTCATCAGTGCTGAGTCTCGAATATATTTTTCATAATGGCTGAATATTATGCATGAGAATATGTGGACGGACATTTTATTCTTACGTTCTAATAGTTTATACTAAACATACAGCACCCCTTCACAAAATGAGAAGTGTTTTTCCCTGTTAATCTGAAGGTCACCCTTCTGCCTGAAGACATGCAAGAACATGTTATTTGAACAGACAGATTATGGCTCTGACAAATTATGCAGTCCCTGGGCTTACAAGAGAAACTGGCTTTATTAAAAATGAAGAAGTTAGAATTAATTTAAGATCACCCTAATTTAGATGTATTGTCTTTTTATGGAGTTTTTCATGTATTTTAAATAAATATTGAATTTAACAGATGTACTGGAAGGGGAGAAAGTTGAACTTCTGCCACTTAACAGGGGACATTGCTTACTGGGCACATCACCAGGCTTTTAATCAAAATAAAGTTTCAGTTTTCTAATATACAAGGACTATTTATCCAACATGATTGCTCTCTGCCTTACAAGGACGTGCACTTTTGTATTAGTGCAACTGTAATACTGTAATGTTTTCAGAAGCGACAGCATCCAATATTTCTTCTGTAAAGTATCCTTTGGTGCAACCTTGCACCAGCTTTGCATCCAGTATGGTCTAACCAATTTAATAGTGATCCCATGGAGTCACAGAATGCTGTCAGGAAACCCCAACAACCAGGCTTTCAAAAACATACCTCTTTCACTGTTTGCAAATCTCCATCTCTATCAGTGCCACATTCTATCAATCCTGGGACACCTTCTCAAGGACAGAAGTATTTTGATCTAAGTCTGTATAATATATCTTGCACTCCATTTTATGAAGGGCAGACATGGAATACTTAAGCTTATCCAATTCCCTTACACTCTATCAACTGCCATTCACAAGTTGTGCCCCCTGGTTGTAGAATGAAGATTCAGTGCTTCCAGGAAAACTGGAAACATGCAAAAACCCTCAGGGCAGGTGTGCAGGATTCACAGAACGGAGCTCTACTAATCTGCCCCAGTTGAGAAACCAGCATTTTCACTAATTTCAGGCTTCCTCAGGAAGTCCTAAATCTCTGTTGTGCAAGTGATTGGTACCACACACATAAAATAATAACCAGAGACATTAAGTGCCCTACTGAATTCCACTCATGGGCTTTTTCACCATGCCCACTGATTTCTCCCCACCACTCACTCTCACTTTTGCTTAATAGCCTAAAGAGTTCTGAAAAATGACATTTTTATTTTTCCTAATAATGATACTACCCTGCTGAATTTTTCTCCCAATGAACTAATGCAATTGCAGTTTAAGTTATATTTTTTCCATTTTGAGGCATGAGGATTATTTAAAGCAGAAATGCCTATTAGCAGATCAAAGCTCTAACATACGTGTGTTTAAAATTTTAAAAACAAATTTATGAGTAAAAATGTTCACTTTTCATACTGTTAAGGTCCTGGGTTCAGAAGAGAATGTAACTTTGTTACTATCGGTTGACTTCCAGGGCAATGTTCTTGAGCAGGTGGAAACCAATCAGCTCCAAGCACCCTTGAATGAGTCTGATTATCTGCCATCTCAGTTGGAGTTCAGGCAACATTTTGGCACAGAAACAGCTTTGGTTGCCCTGTAGGATGAACTATGCCAGGAGAGGCAGGAGGAAGTGTGACCCTATTGGTTCTCCTGGTTCTCTCAGCAGCTCTTGATCCCACTGATCACGGTATCCTTACGGAACAGCTGGCTCATTTGGGAGTACAGGCCACTTCATTGCAGTGGTCAACTCCTACTTGGAAAGCTGGCTTTGCAAGCTGGTGCTTGGCAGGTTATTGGTCAGCCACTTAGACTCTTAAGTATGAGATTCCTAAGGGATCAGTCTTGTTCCCCAATGCTATTCTACATCAAAAGGAAACCACTCAGTGGATTCATCTGCAGTTTTAGAGTGCACTGTCATCAGTATGATGATTTGGAGCTCTATTATTCAGTGATAGTAATTTCTACACTCTCAAGTATGCAAGACTATGTACATTAATATATTTCCGAAAGCAAGTAAGGCAGGCAGGCAGGCAGGCGGACGTGCGGACCCAACCCAACTGATGAGTGAGCATGGTCAGTGTGGAATGTTAAATGTCAATTAGAATATAAAAATGGAAGAATCTATTGAGGCAACATTCCCAGTGAACAATATCCCAGCAATATTTGTCAGCATGGTTCCTTCCAAACATGTGTTTTTAAATAGAACAGTTGGTACCATCCAGAGTTTCCACTACTCTTTTGTTATAGTCTATGACTATATGTTGTTTATGTTGATTTTTTGTCATAAAATACAAATATCAATAAAAATAAATTATGTAAGCCGTCCTGAGGCTTTTGCAATAGGACAGCATATAAACATCACAAATAAATAAATACATAAATTAGCCATGATGCTCACTGGTAATATATAGCTTTTCACTTACATAAAATATGGAAGCCAGAATACAGTACAATCGATTCTAAGCACAAGATAACAAAATAATCTGACAACTACAACATATTCTAGCTAGAGAAAAACAACAGACAGTAAGATGAAAATAAAAGAGTTTTCCATAACAATACTTTGTATTATGCCATTGTGATAACATACTTGCATTCACAAAAACAATGTTTTCACTAATCAAAGAAGTCATTGTCTTTCTCAGGTTAGTTTGGGGCTAGAAACCTAAAGTCTTTTCTAAAAGGGTAATTGCAACATATTCAGTTTTGCTACAAGCCTCTTCCCAGGAATGAAGGTACCTCAGTAGTTTTATAAGCCTCAAATCTTACCAAAGTATGCCAAATTTCCGGACAGCAGCAACCTGTCTCCGTAACAGCCCTCACTTCTCCTCCACGTGTGTTGAGACTAGACTAGTACAGTACTTAAACAAGAATCTGAAGAAATAGGGTTTTCAGATTTTCCAGAAACCACAGCTAACAGTTTTATAGTCATAAGTCTCCCATTCACTTCACAGAGAAATTCTGTTGAATGCATTTCATCCAAATTGAAACAGATCTTTAGTTAAAGAAATTTTATCTTATTAAAGATGCCACTTGCTTAACTAAAAAGGGACATTTATTTAACTAAATTATTCAGCTGGCAGAGGGACAAAATGTAGACCCTTGCAAAGCAAAATCAAGTATGCTAAAATCCAAATGCAATTCTACTGCCAGACATATTAGCACATTTTAGCAAAACCGAGAATGTCGTTATACAATCTATATTCTGAGATTCTGTATCCAGCTTCCCTGAAGTTTAGCAAAAGCAACACAAAATAATCTGTCATTGCAAGCTATTTGCATGCTAGGGCATTCTGAGCATCAAGCTTGGAACCAAAAATTAAACATACAGCAACTTTAGCAAACTTTGCTTTCATTTCCAAAGGGGAAATTCAAATGGAGAAAACATTCAGTAGAGGTAAGTATTTTTTCACCTTCAAGGAGATTTACATGAATTTAAAATTGTTTTACTTTCTGTAGTAGTTACTGTGCTTTAGTGATTTGTACAAATCTACCAGAAACGTGTCTTTTTAAAGTTTAATTTGTAAAAAGGAAATATTGACAAAACCTGTACTTTATTAGAAAAGGCTGCTGAGACTGCACTGCAGAGGCTCATGATGTATGCTGGAAGCAGGCCAGAGAACTAAAGGGGAAACAAGCCACAAAGCATGTGATTATCTGTTGGAACGTGGACTGGCAAATGAGGCTTATCGTGATGTGCAAACTAGCCCTCTGACTGAACTTGCTAAACGAAGAAGCATGACATTCATGTGAACCAAAGTACTTTTCTTTGGGGATCCAATCTGACCCTGCCTTAGGCATACTATTGATCTATATTAGTACTGTATACTAAGTTCCATATTTCCATCTATTGCTATTCTTGTCAATGTATGTAGCTGGCAAAAGATGTCCTCATTACTACCCTGCTTCACAAAAAGACGATTCTAAATCCAACTCTTTATTAACAGAATATCCAAAAAAAAAAAAATCAACTAAAAGCAATACATATCAAAACCAAGCCAACTGGCCTATTAGCTTTTTTTAACAAAACACGGATGCAAGCATATGAAAAATCGGATGTAACATTGTATCAGCACTGTGTATTACTTTACAATACTCACTGTAGTATGCATATAATACAGTGTCTTCAATTTGTCTTGTAACATTTGCATCAGCCCAGTCCTGAAAATGTTGACCAAGAAAAAAGAGAATTATAGATTAAACAGCAATTTATGCATCTGTGTACAAGAGCAAGTTTTAAACAGACAGATCAACCTCTGGTACTTTAAATACACATAGACAAGCAGTTGAACTCATTGATTAAACACCTGAAAAGATACTAAAGACAATCCACCTTCCTTGTCTTCTTAAGACAAGGTTGAGGGATCTTTCCCAGCCCTGGGGCTGCCCTGTTATCAGAGCATGAGGCTAAGAGAATAGGCAAGGACACAAAAAACAGAGTGGGCAGGGCCATATGTAATCCCTTCATCCAACTTGCTTTATACTTACCTGCACTTTGTAATCTGTAGACTGGTGGCAAGCTTGATGGCAATGCAAGCACTGCCATCTCTCAAGCTGTTTGGCAACTGTTTTGGTATGTCACTTTAAGAAACCCAGCCAGAGACAAACCAGGAAAGGCAAGAAAACCTGACAAGGCAATAATCCAAGCACACATGTCTAAGATAGCATAATGACGAGTTGCATATGCAAGGCTAACATTGAGCAAGCCTATTCAAATCAAACTGCATGCAATCACAGAGCCCTGCACAAAGTAAGCAGTAATTAGTTTATCACCATGCTAGGCATATTCCAGGACTGGATGAACTCCCCTAGGTAGGATCTAATCACAGGTCTGCAAGACCAAGAATTTTGCAATGTTTATACACTCCAGATTACCTGCTTAATATCTTTGACAGCTTTGCAGTAAGACTCACCTCCCTATTCTATATTCTTGAGATTTTCTGTCCTTGAAGTGTAGCTTCCTACTCTATGTCCTTTTTTCTGTTGTGTATGTACACTATATGTTTAGGCACCCAGCCACTTTGCGCAGTTTCCTCCTGTTGCCTAAAAAGAATAATTTCAACTGACCCCCTAAAACTGAGTATTGCTCCTGCCCCTCTTCACTCCAGTTGCAACCATTTCATACTCAAGAAATTGCCTTAGTGCGCAGCTTTTTACTCAAGAAAATAATCCTTGGTAACAAGATGGGAGCAACTGTGCAGGACACTAGAAACAGAAGTATGTGAAATAACTGCAAATGCCCCTTTCCTGACTTTTCCCTGTCACACTGGTCACTCTCACAGCCAACCCCAATCTGTTCTCTCCACTCTTGCAAGCTGAGGCCCAAACCCTCATCTCCCCAGTGACATTACAGGCACAAGTAGCCATAATATCCCTCGTAACAAGTTTAGCCCAGTTCAAACCAAGCCATCCACACAGTTTCGAGGGCTAGCTTGTGTACCACAACATTCAGTCTAGCCACCAAGAAAGAGCCAATCTTAAGCATAACTTCCCACTATTCAAACACACATCAATCTTCACCTTTGCCATTTTTAATTGGGTCCAGCAATTTATTAAGCACTCCATGAGGAGTTTTCAGGTTCCCAGTGTTTCCCAAATTATTTTGAGAATAATTTTGATTCTTGTAATTCCATTTTGATTCTTGTAATAAGTTTTGTTATTCTGCTACTAATGTTGCTCGCTCTTGCTTTTTCTTTTTATTTATTTTTGCTGAGTAAGTTATTATCAATCCCCTGACATAGGTTTTAGCTGTATCCCAGACATTCTGTAAAGAAGTTTCTTCCACTTTGTTTATTTGAAAGAATATTTGCATCTCTTTGCTTATCTCTTCTATAAATTTTTTATCTTTTAGTAACGCTTTCTCTAGACTCCATCTGGGCATCCTTGCAGCTCCTTTCAATGATATAAATACAGGATTATGATCCGCCCAGACATTTGTCTTCATTTCAGCTTCTATCACATATGACATTAAGTCTGGAGTTATCCAAACCATATCAATTCTAGACCATGACCTGTGTCTGTCTGAGTAAAAATAGTTGGCCGAAGATGGGTTTTTGTGCCTCCAGGCATCTGTCAATCTGAATTCTTCAGTCAAGTTGGAACAAGACTTTGGAAGCATCCTCCTACCCTTTTTTCCCCTTACTTTCACTCTTGTAATTGATTCCCTTATTCACAATTGCATTAAAATCGCCCATTACACACACAGACTGATAGTCCACTTGTAAAAGTAACATACGTAGTTTTTGATAAAAAGTTTCCTGATGGTCATTTGGTGCATATATTGCCACTAAGAGCACCTTTTTAAGTTTAATTGTAATTTCTACCATCAAGATCCTACCATCCTCCATCAGCAAGAATATATTTAGGGTCCAATTTTTCTTTAACATACAGTGCTAAACCTCTTTTCTTTTGCGATGCAGAAGATACAATTTTCGCAGTTTTGAACATTCCAGAAGTTTAACATATTGTTTCTTAATATGTGTTTCTTGTAGACAAATTATACCTAATTTTCATTTTTGAAGTTGAACAAAAATCCTTCTTCTCTTAGATGGTCCATTTAGTCCATTAACATTTAAGGAGAGCAATTCAATTTTCCCTTCCTTTTTAAGAGCCATATTTAATAAAATTATTTACTTATTCTTTGCCTTTACAGTTCTACCTTTTTTTCTCCTTTGAGTCCAGAGTCTGTACTTCTTGTTGTGAATCATCCTTCAGTATTTCTCCTTCTTCAGAATGGTACGCTGTTATTTCCATTGCTTCTTTTTCTCCTTCTTTAGAGACGACAGGATCCTCCTCTTCCAGCATAACTCTAAATTTTTCATAGAACTCTTGTGCTTTAAGAATTGAATCCAATTTATATCTTACAGAGTTTCATGTAAAAAAATATTCCTTCTGGTGTTAGCCACTTAAAGATAATCTCTTTCTTGATCAATTTTGTAGTAAGGAATCGATATTTCTTTCGTCCCTGTCTAATCCTCCATGGAATTTGTTTCAGGACCGTCCCCTCTTGATGATCATCTCTCTTTAACAGCTTCTCCCATACGGCCTTCAAAACATTATCTCTTATAGATCTTAGAGCAAATTTGACATGAACTTCTCTCAGAAGTTTATTTTTTCTGGTATAAGAGGAGTTGACCCTATAAACAAGATCAATTCCCATACCCATGACTTTGTTCTCGATTTCTAAAAGCTCCACCAGCATGACAGTTATAATCTCTCACAGATCCTCATTTTTCTCTTCAGGTAAATTCTGAAATCTTAGATAATAAGATGCCTTCTTCATCTCTAATGTAGCCATTGAATCCCATGTTGACTTGTTTGCTTAATTATATTTCTTTATCTACTGTCTCCAATTTTTCACATACTTGTTGTGTTTTTTGTGTATTCTGTTCCGCTTTAAGTCGGACATCAGATAATTGAGTTGTCACCTCTCTATTAGAGTTATCCAATTTGTCAAGTCACTCTTTTTGCTCATTTGATAAGCTTTGCAGCCATATTGACATCGCCTCTTGAAATGCTTGCAAAGTTGTTAAAGCTGCCTGTATCGCCATTAAGCTTTTTGCAACATCTTCTGTCTTAGGCTGATGAATTGGGCTCTGACCCACTGAGAAAGGTGCTGAAGAGGGCTGAGTTTTCCTCATGATGAAAACTGTTCACCAAAGAAGTTTCAATATACCAAAAAAAAAAAAAAAACCTGGAGCAAAAAATCATTGGATTATCCCTGCCAAGATGCACTACTGCCAAACTTAAAAAGTTCCTTAATGGATGTCCACATGCCTAGAGAACACATTCAGTAATAATACTGCCCAGTAAATTTCTGTTATTAGGTGATTTACTGTGCTTCCCAGAAGTTTTGAGGAAGTTATTCAAGTATACTCCCCTCCGTTCCACAGCCTGTAAGAGTCATTAGAGCATGCTGATTTCTATAGCTCAGCATGTGCAAGGCATTTGTTTGGTGCCAGAAAAAACCCCAACACAAACAAAAATCATAACTAGAGTAGAATGGATGCCAAGCAAACATAATAGTAGTAGTCGCTGTGAAGATGATGACAATGACGACTTTTTCCAGTATGCAGCTCAGTTATGCATCTTAAGATGCAGTCTCATACTTAAGGAGACTTTACTACATTCCCTTTCTAAAAAGGAAACAAACACCAAGTAAATGCCCCATAACAAGAAGCAGCAGTAAGAATATCTCACTTCTGAAAATAAAGTTTTGGGAATTTTAAAATAAATGCTGTATTAACAATCTCAGCTGTAAATAGTTGTAGAGCAAGTAAAGTAGTATGTATGCACTTTACAAAAAATTCCCTCCATAAGATACTGTCATAGCACAGCTACTAGTGTTTTATATTGTGATTTGAATTGGAGTGGGGCAAGGTCAGCAGGTGTGAATAAAAACAAACAAGGTTGTGTTAAACATGATTTGCAGGCTCAATCATATCAATCTGCACCTTCATTCCTAAACCAGTTTCAGCTATATCAGCTTGTACAATACCAACAGGAGGCTACATGCGAACAGATGATATTGTAAAATCAACTGGGGGGAAGGGAAGGGAAAGAAAAGAAAAGGCAAAAATATGAAGGAAAATGTATAAAAATCTTGAATAATAGGAATTAATGGTTAAAAAGAGAATATCTGATTAGATCATTGCCTGGTTCACATGTAATACCAGAATACAGATTGTTAATGAATCATGGTTTATGTGCAAACTCTGTACCATAGTTTAACTATGAGTTATCAACCATGAACCCAAGAAGGGAACACATGATTTACTGTTGGATTGTGAAGTCTGGGTTATTTGTGGTTAACAACCCATACTTAAAGCATAGTACAGGATCAGAATGCAGCAAAAAATCATGACTCAATGGCAACAAATACTCAGATTATGACATTGTTATGTGTGAATCAGGCAAGAAAGTATTCATTTGTTAAAGCATCATTTTAGCCATTAATGTCACAATTATTAAAGATATCTGGTCAACAAGAGAAAAAGTCTTCGCAATTGTTGTGCTCTGTTTGTTGAACACTTCCTATAGGTAGACTTGCCAGGTAAAAGTATGATTTCTTATGCTTTAGGTCAGATGTGGGTCCCTCCATAGCCATGTAGATGCCAATGAACTCGAGGTCCATCAGCCCCAGACAACTTGGGGTCATCATCCAGCAACATCAGATGGCCACTGTTTCCCTACTGTTGCCTTTTACTCATTTTTAGTTCATTGTCGTTTTTAATGTGCTTATTGTTGTTCTGGAAACCATGTTAGTAAGATGTGACAATGAAATGTTTTAAAGTAATATCGATAGATTTAGACCTTATTAACAAGCGGGGGTTTTCGTTTATAGCTTATGATCTTTCAGCAGTATATATAAAATAAACACTCATCAAGAAAAAAGATCTACAGCCAGGGTTGGAACAAATCCTTTTGGAATCCACCCCTCTAGTATCTATAGACGTCCTCTCATGTCTGGCTCAGTCCTGCAAAGCAAGTCAAGCCAAAAAGAAAGGCATGACTGCTCATGAACCCCCCAGCTGTGCTCCAGCAACCTTCCCCATGAGGTGCAGCTGCCCAAAGAGTGGCAGCAGCAAGCATGGAAGCGGGGCACTGCAAGCAGGCATGCCAAGCCCCATTCCCAGTGGCCAACCTTCTTCCCCACCCAGTGCTGCCAGCAGCATTGCTAATGGGCATGGAAAAGGAGCACTGCACAGGGGTTGATTCCTGGTGAAAGTTCCACAACCACTGAAAACACTTGCTGCCAGGAATCCAGAGTCTGTGCCTTCGCAAAATGTACTGGAATCCAGAGATCCAAAGGATTCCTACTCCCTAACAGATTCCTCACTCATCCTTAACTATAACCTTTGAAACATCAGCATAACATGTCATTATTTGTTTTTAACCAAGCCCAAATAATATACACAAAAACCAAAAGGTAAAGTTTATGAACATATCTTAACTCCTTCACTGAGCATGACTAGAAAAATAAATAAATCTCCAACATATTTCTTTTTACACTGCAAATTCTGTAATGCTGCATTCCTTCTGAACTGTTTAAAATATTCCTTTATGCTGTGTGACACACAGGCTTGAATTAGATGCAATGCTTAGCTATAGTTAGGAGATCATGAGTTCCCAGCATGCTCAGGCACACTTACTCACCCTTCAGTTTGTATATTCCTTCATTCTCCCTTCTCCAGTTAGCACTGACTATGGCAAGCATTAACCCTAATTACCACCAACATTAGATTGGGAGTTCACAACCTTCTACCACTTGTATTCTCCAATTACTCCCCCAGAAATTCTCATAAAGCTCACTAGGATGCGAGTGTGCACATGTATGTGTCTGTGTGTGCATGCATGGAGGGTATGATCGCACATGTTAGCCCTGGGAACTAATGTTATCCTCTACTCCACCTCCATCCCCAAGTTAGTCAATCAGCTTCCTCATTTCAGTTTCTAGATTAAAAGTATTAGCGGTAACAATGATTATGCCAGTGCAAACATAACACTGTCCACTAGTTGGTGCTAACATGGAAAGAGAGAGAGAAGGAGAGAGCAATCCCAAGGGGAGAGGAGGAGGAGCACATCTGATCCCTCAAGTACAAGTTAGGAGACTGGGTAACTTTGCAACGATGAGAACGTACTTGTGGATTGCTGTCCACTTGAGCTTGCTCATTATAATCTTCCTCTGTCTTACCTGTACAAGCTATTTCAGTTTTTAAAAACTTAAAATTTCAATAGTAAGAACAAATGAAGAAAGTAAACCAATTTTTCAAAAAGACATCCTAGATTACACTACACAAACCACCTGTTACCACCAAAGGCCTATGTTGATTAATCTTGATTTAATTCAAGTATTCTATAAATTTTATTATACATTTTGGTTTTATTTGACCCTTATAAAGGAATGCAGTATGAGCTCTTTGGTTTTGCTCTGGAGATCAGAAGCTTTTAAGGAAATCATATTTTATACACAGAAACTGTTTTAGTATTGCCATAAAATGAAGTAATGAGTAGCAGCTCTCTCAATGTCAGCTGGTTAACAGTGCAATCCATGTTGTCTCAACTGCCAAGTAAGAGTAAGAAGGCTTGGAATCACAGTCAAAATACCTCTATTTTTTGATAGCTTGCTTTGGTAACAAAGAATTGATAGAATACATTCAGGAATAGAAAAATGGCTTCAATAATAACAGTGCAATCAGTACATACCTTAAAAGTTCCATTTTGGTTCTTAACATAAGAAACTAGAAAAATGTCCACTGGTAAGAGTGCTGAAGTAATAAGTGCAATTGCCAGAGCGAAAATAGATGTTATGGTAGAAATTACTTCACTTTCTCGTCTGCTCTGGTATTTGCGGACATAAACCCAGCAAAAAGCAAGGATAACCTAAAAAAAATAAATAAATGCAGACAATTACTGCAACTCAGGTGCAAGTTATCACATTCTTGCTACAGTTTACCTCATTATCAAAACAACACAAAAGGGTCTTTGCAATTTTTGGGCTCTTTCTGAATTGCATTAATTTGGATTTTTCTTTTTGTTAGACCAGAAGATTGATTTCCATAATAAACCCTTCAGTTTGTAGTTATCATTTATTACTGGTAACAATGCTTTAGATGATTTTACCATATATCAAAGTTCTGTTACAAATTATGTTGCTATGTATCACAGGCTTATTAGAAACACAACTACCTCATTCAGGCTACCTAAACTATTGATTTGCTAATTTATAAATACATAAAATACAAATTCAGCTTTATCAGCTAGGAGTTCAGGATGGCTTACATGGGGTCATCCCATTATCAACAACCTTGGGGCACAGCAAATACCAATTATCCAAGGCTGCCTGGTGAGTTTCATGGCCCAGTGCTACTTTCTAAGTTTGCCCTTGCTGCTTTTCCAGCTTCAGCATCTCCTTTACACTTACTGTGTTTAGTACTTATGTGCTTAGAAGCACTTACTGAGGTGCAATTGACCTACAACCCATTTCTATAAATCCATTGCGTGTGTGTGTGTGGGGGGGGGGAGATGGTATACAGGGTTTTACACAGGATTGTAACATTTTGCCTAATCAATGTATTGGCACCTTGGCATCTGCAACTGATGCATCTATGGCTCTTAGGTTGCATTTTATTCAGCAAAATCATTTATTTTGTGACTCTTGGATGTTTAATATTTAGTATCTCTTTAATATTCCATGGTGCACTAATGGTTGGAGGTGTAAGAGAATTCATGTTTATTTTAGGCATATGTCATGGAAATGCTCCACAAGAGTAGTTCCTCCTTAGGACAAGATTATGATATGGATGAATTTGTACTGAAATAGATCAGTAAATATTAAGGAATATATATCATTTTCAATTATCTACTTGCTTCCTATAAGCCAAACAAGAGTAGTCAGCAAAAATTGACATTTCATCCGCCACTGATATCTAATGAAATTACAACACTGGAAGAATAAACTCTCCTTTAACACGATGGACTGAAGACCACAGATCACTTTCAACATCTGAATGGGTAGAATTTGGTTATCATCCATGAATGGACACTTATTTGGATATCTGCTTTGCTTTACTGAAGTTTCTCTACAGTTCTCAGAAACTGTATACTCACCCATATCTCTATACTGCCAGTGATCTATTCAAATCTTTGTTGTCCCATTTGTCCTTTGTTGAAATTTTAGAATTAAAAACAAGTTTATTGTTAAACTATTCACAACCTTATGACACAGCAAGTGCAAGGCTGTGATACAACCTTGACACTTGCCCATGCTTATTTATTTAGTGAATGCCATGCTGGTGAGAAGGACAAGTATCTCCACTCCAAGTCTACCAAGACTACCCTACAGTGTAGTACTTTACTAAAGTAGGCTCAAACTGTATTGTTTAATAACAGAAATGAATTCTATGTCAAAGCCATTTAGCAATCCACCTCAGCATCACAACACAGCCCATCTCCTCCCACCCACATGCTGACTCTAATCTCAAAACCATACATCAGGATTGCTGAAGAATGCCAAGAGGTAATTAAGCCACGAATACATTTTAATGACATGGTAGCCTTACGTGGAAACCCCACGGGGGCACACAAACGTACACACTTCCTTTCGAGGAAAGAAAGGGAGACACAAAACAAGCTTGACTCTTGTTCATTTCTCCTCTTCCTTCCTACTGCTATACTCACTCACTGGAAAGCAAAACTCACCGACTGAATACGCAATCAATTCTAAAAGTAAATACATATCGAGCTGCGCTCCCTCAGATCGCCTTGGTAACTACGCACTTCTCTCTCCTTCCCGCGCCTCTTCATTAATAGGAAAAAGCCTCTGGAGCGTGATGTCTATCTTCTCCCTCCCCACAACCCCCAGAAAGGGAGCAAAAGCCTATTGGGAGCAGAAACCTGCAGCTACGCAGGGGCTGGCAACAGAAACAGGGACGGGCGGAAGTTAAAAAAAAAAAGAGTCTATCAGAAGCTATTAGCCTTTGAAAGGAAGAAGCAGAGCGGCAGCTGCCAGGCCCCTACCAGTAAAGCGAGGCCGAAGAGGCACCAGCCCGTAACCAAGTCCGTCTCGGCGGTAAAGGCCGCCATCTTAACTTCCGGCAACAACGCAACACGGAGAGTGCCGAGACAGCGCCACCGCAAGGGGAGGAGCTAATAATACGGAGGGGGCGCCGCGACAAGAAAGCCAATCAGAAGGTCGTTACCATAGAAACCGCCAACAACATCTTCCGCCACAGGCGCCGCGATTGGATCGTGTGATTACAGAAGGAGCCAATAGAGAAGTAGGAGATCAAGCCTTGATACATTTAATTCCGAGTTATAGTCTTGTGTGGAGTAGAAACACTTTCTAAATTAGAGGACTGAGTCCTCCTGTAGGAAGGTTTCAGGTGTCGGGGAAGGGAGAAAGAATTCGTATTAAGACCTTGTGCGTTCTCCAAACCTTCTGGATGCTTTGGGCCTCCAACTTCGACCAGCCTCAGCCGGCAGGGAAGCTATAATCCAAAACTCTGGAGAGCACCAGGTTAGGGAAAGGGCTTCAGTTCGTGCCTGTGCAGGTTTACATAGGTGAAAGCACTAACTAGGCTCACTCCAAAGTGAACTTGCACAGGAGAAGATCAGATGCTCCCTAAGAAATAACGATGTCTGAAAAATGGGGCGAAGAGACTGACTTCCAGGAACTCAAAATTACACCTTCAGTATTACTTAATCCAGACTTAACTGCATAAGTTTGCATTTTCCCAGCGCTATCAATGCGTTAACAGGCATAATTAAATTTAGTGGGACTCATCATGCTTTCCCCTCCCATCTCCAAGAGGGAGCTAAATACCTTATTAGAACGTGGAAGGAGTGACAAAAGATAGAATAGCCATTCTTGCTAATCTTAGGCTGAATCGCGAGAAAAACACGAATAGACGCATTGTTGCAGCTGCCTACCAGGAAAGCAGCGCCAAAGAAGCACCAGCCCGCGGTCACGTCCGATATAGCCGTAAACATCGCCATCTTGGTTTCTGGTTGTTACCGTAGAGAGCGAGCTACTTAAATAGAAGAGGCCTCTGTTCCCGTGCAATAGTACGAACGCCCCTTCCTGTGTCAAGATATGCCTTTCAATTTTCACTGGGGGCTTCCTTTTTATTAGGGGTTAATGAGGATGTTAAGCATCTTTCTGATCTTCCTCGCGTCAAGAACTCTCTGCCCCTAGAAAAGTAGCACGCCAGGGACTTCCATTAGAACCCTTCCTTCTGGCAACCTACGGGCATGGCGTTTGTGACGTGAGGAGCTCGTCTGCAATCTAAAATGGTACAGCCTAACAACTGATTAAATCACGGCAGCGTGATCTGCTCGTGACTAAGCTACTCGTCCTACACACGTTTAGTTTGATATGTTGAACGTATGGCTAAAGGTCAGTTCTAAAGATCAGTCTTTCCTTGTCCACGTTTTTCAATTAAAGGAAAAACTTTATGCTGGAAACTTAATGCCGATATTACTGAAACCAGGGCGAGAAAAGGAAAATAGATGTTGTAAAGTACGAATAGGCAATTTGTAATCCTTGGCCTAATGTTATGAGTGTCGTGGAGGGGAAAGGGAGTTGCAGAAAGAGGGAAAAGAGGATAACAGCGAAAGGGGTATCAGGAAGAGGTGCACGACGGTATTTCTTTGGCTGCAACCCTGTCCATACTGGCCTCAGATCCATTTCCAATAGGTTTCCCTCTGCTATGTATGGGTCTGAGACAAAATATGGCTTTTGTCAGATCAAGTGAGGGCTTTGCCACTCCAGTAACTTTCTGCTTTCCTGGTTGCTGAGTGTGTAAAATTCCAGTACCATGTCTTTCAAAGGCTGTGAACAATGAGACAAGTAGATCAAGGTAGAAATTGGTGACATTACTAACATACAACAATATCACTAATCATATTAGAATAGAAGCAAAAGTGGGGTGGAGGGAGTAAAAACAAATATTGCCCAGAAAGCTTGGTTTAAATGAACAAAGAAGGATGCAGTGAATAATAACCAGAAATAAGAGACACCTATTACAATGACTATAGTTGTATTAGCAGTTGACCAAGAGCTTGGTTGCATTTTTGTCTGCATGTCTACTCAGAGGTAAGTTCCACTGCATTCCATGAAACATACTCCCAGGAAGGTGGGTACAGGATTGCAGTCTAACTGATTGACTTCTTGCCTTGGCTATCTTTCTATTGTTCAAAACTGCATAGTAGAATATTGCAGGTTAAACCTAGGAACATCCCAAATATGCCAAATTCAGTTTTAACTATCTTCAGGTTCTGCATGAGATTATTAGCTAATTCATACCCCCAAAGATGAAAAGATTTCAGATTCAATTGATGAGATTGGCTCATTATCTGTTGCTAATGTCCTTCTGGGTCTGGCATGTTATCTCAGCTTGAACTTAGAGGAAATTTAGGCCTAGATAACCCTTGTCAGTAATCTTTTCAGGGCTTTATAACCATTGCTATTCTGATGTCTTCCAAGGTTTTGTTTGTTGTCATGAGTATTACTGATCTGTCCTGGGGATTGATAGGCATCTAACTGATGATACTTGTACTTGGGGGTTATGAAGGTGTGGGAGACTGCACATTATTAATACCTTTGTAGAAAAATAGTTGGTGGCCTGTGTCATAGGCACCATTGTTCAATGGTAGTGCTCTCTGGATCTCTTGAGCTCCTGCAGTTGCTGCAGAAGTTTGTAAGAGGCATGCCCTTTACATATTATGCAGTAATTTTCCTAGTACCTCAACACACTCATTTGTACGACTGGAAGTGCCACAACGACGATGAATCCTGCTGCAGCAGGATTTGGGAATCTGTACTCTAAACTAATCTGTACTAAATGCTATTAGTAAGCACTATGAATAACAAGGCCTCCACCTTGGATGTAGAGCAGACCCTATACTTAAAATGGATGCTGTGGGTTTGGGGTACATGCCCTCCAGATGTTTTGGACTACAGCTCCCCTAATCCCTTACCACCAGCCATACTGTCTGGGGCTAATGGGAGGTGCAATGCAGAATATCTGTCTGGCACCTAGTTGCTTGGTTTGGGACATGTCAGAGGGTTTGATGTGAGTCTATTTGCATCCTTGGACTGCTAAGAGACTTTTAAATTTCACAGATGGAAGTAACTGCCTGCTAAAATCACTTCTATTGCAGAGTTGTGTCATCTTTGTCAACACTACAACTATGGGATTTTCCTAGATGACATATGATTGTTTTGTCTATGGGAATCATGAACAAGTTCACTGATGGCAGCACTTGGACACAGTGGGCTTACACTCCGAAAAACTGCAGTAGCTTAATTTCCCTTCCTACAAGTACTGGCCATGACCCACATAATAAGCATATTTATCTTTACCGGAAATGGCTGGTCATGCTGTCCAAACTCTGTATGGGTGGGAACCCTATAATGAGCCAAGGGTTTCAGGGTGGTTTGTAAATCAACCCAGCCACTCATCTTCACTAGGCTGGATATGATGAAAACCCACACCCAGTAAGGGTAGTTATGCTGATTAGGTGTTTTATAGCTGTCACACATGGAAAGGAAAAATAAGCTCCCATGGACTATTTTGTTTCCATGTTTGTGCAGACCCTGCCAGTGGTACTTCAAGGGCTGAACCTCAGAACAAAAATCTAGGGCCCAACAGCTCAGGGCCTCCCTAATGACAATATGGCGTGGCAGATAACAGAAGTGATACAGGCTCAGTGTGGCATCCTGTCTGTGGTCTTATTTCTGACAACATTTTATAGCCAGCTGGGCAGATGTATGGTTATTGAAGCTCCTAGTATTCTTTATATTTGAGTGTGTGTGTGATTCTTTTTCTATCCCAAAATTGTACTTATTCACAAGTAAATGTGTTTCACACAAAAGTATCACAGACAGTTCCCATTTTATTCTATAATATTATGATGATGTTGCTCCCGATTGCCCTTTCTGTTACAGAATTAGGGTATATCCTGGAGCTGAGAGCAAAGAAGCAACACAGGAGATGGCTTGAATGCAGATGAAGAAAAACTTCCAGCAGATGCAGTCTAACTCTGGTATGTGCCTATAGTCAAATATATCTAGGGGTAATGAGGGTAGCAAAGAAACAACATCTGACTTTTTTGTAGTAAGTATTAATGATTTTTATTGTTATTTGCGTTTTATACTGCATTTTATTGTATTTCGTGAATTGCTGTGAATGCCCAGAAGGCTTCAGCGATTGCATGGAACAGAAGTGATGATGAGGAGAAGGAGGATAAAAATGAGGATGATGCTGTGATCTGAGTTTAAATGTGAAACTCTGCATGTTTTCTTCATATCAGTGCTGGCAAACAGTTTTGGGATTCTTTTGCTCTAACTTATCAGGCATGCCAAAGCTGTGATACAGCAGGCAGTGTGGGGAGAAGAGAAATGTCGCGTTCTTCACAGCTGAAATAATACAAGTGGCCATCTTAAGATGGAGGTGGCAGGGAATAAGACCATTATCTAAACGATCTAGCTGCCCCACTGTCTGGATAGGATCAGAATAACTGGGAGTTTACAGAAGTGAGCTGATGTCATTTCATGTGGTCTAGCCAGTTTACAATTCACCTGAAAGCCAAACATGTACTTTACTGCTTTGCAGTGTACAAACAAACAAAACACCACTGAGGAATTGCTTGAAAAACTCATCAAGCGAAGAGTTCTGGAACCAGCTATACTTGACCAGTAGACTGTTACACTGGGATGAAAGTAATGTCAGAGTAAGATTCTAGAGATGAATGCACTCAGATAAGGCACTGAAGCTGCATTCATGCCAGTGCTTGCAGTCAATTAACTGCTTGCTATTCTTGTTGAGGGAAATCTATTTGCAAATTTTGACCTTGCCCAGGCATATCACTAGCTGATTATTGATGCTGCTGCTGTCAATGCCAGAATGATAATCACTCATAGAGGGGCATTCCAGGTTAAGTATCTCAACATTTCTTTGCTCATGGAAGTTTCTAATGTTTCACAGAGACCCTTCTTTCTGCAATTCCAGCTATTATAGTATATTTTGATATATCCTAATCATGGGATGAACAGAAGCTGAACTTGCTGAAAGACTTCCATAAATAGCATCATTTTGTAAAA